AATGGATAACACCTACATCTTGGGGAGGACAATCTGCTTTACTCAGGTGCTGATTCATATGTTGATTTCAGCTGGAAACACCTTCACATATACTGAAGAATAATGTTTAACCTAGTATCTGGGCACCCTGGGGCCCAGTCAAGTTGACACATCAAATTACCCAGCACGGTGATATCTGATGTAAATAATGCCTTGTAGGTGTTCTCATGACTGTGACAAGTGAAATCATTTAATCTCTCTAAACCATAGCCTTCTCATCTGTAAAATGGAGATAATACAGCAAACTCTGTCATTACCCCATTATAAGTGGGATCCAAAAAACCACCATGGAAATCTCAGGGCTATATTATTACAAAGTTTATGAAATGACTACTGAGCCAAAACAGTTAACTGGGAATTCCTGGGTCTGAGAACCAACTGTCAATCATATAATACATGAATCTGTGGTATGAAATTTTACTATAAAAGTATTTGCTTCATAAGGTTGTTGGGAAGACTAGATGGGCTGATGCACGTAAAGCACTTAAAAGAATTGCCTGGCACAGAAACAAACTTATTAACACAAATTATTCTTTCTCTTTTTTTGTTTTGTTTGTTTGTTGGGGGGTGGCTAATTAGGCTTATTAATTTATTTTTAATGGCGGTCCTGGGGATTGAACCCAGGACCTTATTCATGCTAAGCACACGCTCTACCACTGAGCTGTACTCTCCCCACTCTTTCCCTTTAACTCCTTCCCTCCTCCTCCTCCTCAGTCTTCTCTTCTGATTGTTATTCTTTCATAATAACAACAATAAACATCTAGCATTCCTGATCATTCAATCATTCTAGAAACACTTTTTCATTTTGTTTTTCATAACACCACGTTCTGATCAATCTTCTTTTACTGGTCTGACATTTCCTTCTCTGTCTTTTTAGAGGACTTCTATCCTTGACACTGTTCTTCAGTTGATAATAAATCCATTCTATTCTTGGTCACTTTTAATCTTACTCTGGACACTCTCCCTAGGTGAGCTATCAATGCTCCTGGTTTCAAGTACCCTCTGAGATTCTCAGCCAGTGTTCCTAGCCAAGACACAGTCCTTCAACAAATCTAAAAGTGAACTAATTATTGCGCACTCAAACCTTAATTCTTCAATATACACCTGTGCTTCTTTGCCAGTTATCTACCAAGGCCTATTTGTTTTATCTCAGTCTGTGCCTTCCTCACTATCATTGTTTTGGTTGCCCAAATTCAGACACCTACCTTCTCTTTACTAAAAATGAGAGCAACCCAGGTAAAATGAAAACTTAAACATAGTATTCTTCTGCTTGACACACTTCAATGACAGCGCCAGAGTACCCCCACCTGACCTGTGGGGCCCCCCTTGAATCTGGGTGCTTCCCACCTCTCTAGTCTCTTTTCCAAGCACTTCCTGCCAAGAATTTCATGATTTGTCAGCTTTGAATAGCTATCACTGTGCTCATCTACCAAGCGTTTGCTTCTCCTGCTCCCTCTGCTCTCAAAGTCTCCCTTTTCCAACATGACCTTGGTCTGAGTAACTCCTATCAAATCTTAGGATAGCTCAGAAATCATCCTTCAGAAAGATTTTTCTTGAAACCTCCAGGTGGTAAAGGTGCTCTTCTTTTGTGCAAAGAAACACTTACCCCATTGGTATTGCTCCTGGTTCCCACACTATCTTAGCTTGGGCTGTTATGACAAAATACCGTAAACTAGCTAGGTGGCTATCAACAACAGGAATTGATTCCTCACAGTTCTGGAAGCTGAAAAGTCTAAGATCAAGGTGTTGCCAATTTGATGCCTAGTGAAAGCCCTTTTCCTAGTTGCAGATCATCAACTTCTTATTTTAAACTCACAAGGCAGAGAGCAGAGAAAGTAACAGCAAGCTCCCATATCTCTTCTTGAGGCATAAATTCCATTCATGAGGGTTCCACCCTCATGATCTATTTACCTCCCTAGGTCCTACATCCTTAAAACCATTACAATGGGGATTAGGA